ATGCAAGGGCAAGAGGCATTTCCCAAGAGGGAAATTGCTGAGAAGAAGTCGTATATATTTCTTTATCCTTTAAAGGTGACACTTTGTCCGAGATTGTGCGTAAAAGGTTATCAAATGCCATCAACAAAACGTTCTACGCGGCTAAGCTTCAAACTCGATTCACATCTAGCCCGCTGGTGTATTTACGGTTGAAGGATAGAGTGCCTGATTCTGCCGCCTCTTTCTGTATTTACTCTTTCACTTGTTCCTGTGGAGCAAAATATGTTGGCCGCACGACCAGGCGTCTGTCCGAGCGCGTCCGTGAGCATCGCCCTGAGTGGTTGCGAAGTGGAGCAATTAAGTCAATCACAAGTGCCGTCGTGTCGCACCTTCTCGACACTAATCACATCGTAAACGTGACCGAAGCGTTCCGACCCCTGTATAGAGTTAAGACGGGATGGTCTAGACACGTGCGGTTTCGCATTCTAACCACAGCGGAGGCAGTTTCCATCCGTCCTTCGTGTGCTCAGAAACAATTTGTGCAAGCACTCAAGCTCCCATGGCCGGATCGCCGAAAAGTGACTTGTTATGCAACATCGGAGCAAGTGATAATTGGGGACCAATTATGAAACAAACCCTTGAATACTTTAATTACTTTCCCTCTCTTTTTTCCTCGTAAATCCTTCTTTGATTCTAGTCATATTTATTGTGTTGTAATGGCATGATTAAGACACACTGAAAACGAGCTTGTTTGCCAATTTGTGTTCTCATTATGAGCTCCGTGGGACCTTTTAAAATAATTAATAGCTGTCAGAAACATTGATTTGCACAATTTATCCATGGCAATTTTGCTGCATCTCTACATATGCATACTCTCAAACCCGATCTATGAAAATAACGTGAATGGTTAATCGCATTAGTTTGGCCCTGCTGATTAACCCCTTACCCTCTCCGTTCATTGTGCCACTGTATCACGTTGTCTGTGGTGATTAGCGATCTTGTCTTCATCTGGCATTAATTATCTCACTGACTATGAAAAATCATTTTGACTGAGGTATGCACGTGTATAGATACGGAGGAATGACCACGGAAACATTATGCAAGCCCATGTTCCTGACTTGTGTATTCAAATTTGTGACGATGTTTTCAAATAAATAACGTCCAACGAGTAGGAGAAACGATTATTTCTGAATGATGTATACTGCAGTAAGGTGAACATTCACTGTGGATTGCATTACATAAAACTTACTGGGGGAAAGTTCTATCCCACAAACTATCAATTCCGAATGCATGGACTGCATAGCCTTTTTCACCGATCTCCTCACCTCATCTTCCCTACCATTCAACAGTGTTCTCCCGGCAACCAGGTGAAACTGCACACGTCGTATCAGATTCTTATCCGGACACGATCCATCCTCTCCGTTGCCTACAACACACAATAGGTGTCGTGTTTGTTTGAGTTCCTGCCCCTCAATCTGACCTTCTGTGCTGAATGTTGCTCGATGATACACCGTTACCAGGCTGCGATGAAACGGAAGTTCGATAGGTGACTCAGTTCGGACCGGGCCCCGTGTGATTCGCACCACGTGTGAACCAATAGGTTGTAATACGGAACACACTTCTCGTTCAATTTTCCACTGCTGTCCCTGAAATGGATTAAAAGAACCAAATGTAGATGATATTGTGAGTGTGCCTTCAACGAGGCAACAAACAGCATTCACGAATATCCAAAATACCTTTATCGTCCGAACCAATTTCGATGATAGAGCAATAAGCTGTTTCTGTATGTGAACTTACGCACAGGAAGGAGTTGATATTTTGAGCGAGGTCGGGGATTTTACAGGGCTTTAACGATTTCTCGATGCAGACAGTATCCTTGCTCATGTATTATCTTGCCAATAAACCTATTATAAGCGTCAAATGATTGTAAATAAAAGAATTCACCAGAAGAACTACATCACTTTCTTTGTGTAGGAACAAATGTTTAAGGGATTTATCTGGAATACAAAGTGAAATCATCTTTTTCAAGCCAGAGATACATCTCTGGGGGGAATGTAACCCGTGTACAACGAACCAGGAAATCACACATTTGAGATTAGGCTTATGTGAAACCGCCGTTTTATTGCGCCGGTATGCATAAAAAGGATAGTGTTCCAACTTTTGTAAAAGCGCCTAAGATCTGGGCAAACCAGGATTGTTTATGGGTGAGAGTGACACCAGGGGTACAGACCAAAATCTAATTTGTGTATGCTTGAGAATTGACCTTAATTTAAGGGAGATTACTTAGCAATGCAAGATTACAGAAGGAGGCGCGGTTTTAGGACTGAGGGGAACATCATGCACTTATTGATGTTAAGCACAAGAGATTGTGAAATTGTCGTAAAATTTCTTCATAAAGCTTTCCTGGAAAGGTCAAAAACTGTCTGGAGTGAACAATGGGCAAAGAGTCACATTACCATCAGTATACTCGCAAACCATAATCTAATGACTATTGGAGATAATCTGTACCTACATAGATAAAACAAGAGAAGACGGAATAGCACCCCGAAAAACACAAACATTAATTGAAATACAAGACGACACGTGACCAGTAAGTGAAATAAACTAAATTCTGCGGGAGAAGTAGTCGATTAGAACATCGAAAGACATTCAATAATCATTATTCCGTCGAGAGAACCAAAAACGTTGGCATAATCAAGAAAATTTAAACGAGCGGTGGCTGCACCTTTGCCAAAATGCACGCAACAGAATACACAATAATGGCAAGAACCACTAGCGTGTGCAGATGGGATTTGAGTGCATCATGGAAGTTACATATATATATATCACGTGGTGCAGCAAATGGTTTCCAAACCTTTTATTAGCACAAATGTGCAAGCAAGTAAACGGTGCTTTGACGATCCTTTCTTTTATATTAGTCTGATCTGCACTAGCTTTATTGCCTCATCATGATAGTTCAGAGATCACACATGCTCTAACTATGAAAAAATTGATGTTTCTTTGATCTGACCACGTGTCTACAAATTATATGGAACTGACGTATCACATACGAACGAAGATGTACAGCTTTCATTTCACTTCATCAATTGTTTCCTTTTCTTATGAACCGTTGATATTTGAAGTAAATCAATTTATGTGTAATTTGAGAATTGCATTAGTTAGAGAATGAAGTTGTCCCAAATGAGCCTGTTTCTTGTTTTGTCTTTTCTCAAAATATGTCAAATTAGGTGAAACTACAACGGAGCGAAATTCGAGCGCCAGACTGACTGGTGATCACGCAGATGCCCGACACTTCGTGAACGCACTTGCGAATTGACCTTAAGAGTTGAATTTATTTAAGAAATAACTTATTTATGGTAGTGCTTGAGATGAACGACTTTCGGATGACGTCAGTGAAAGGACAAAGGACGATTCAGAGTGAGGAGAGGGAAAGTGCACAGCCAGCTGGAGTAACTTACAGAGTTCTCCACTAAATGTACAACTCTTTCGGCTTCATCCAACACTTGGGTGATGAAGTGGACCGCTGAACCGGGCTTCATTGTTGAATTTTGTGCATGCACCGGACGTTTTCCGACGGTCGCGTGGACAACGAAAGACCATACATTTTGAAGATTAGGCGGATTTTTTCTCGTTTCCTTCGCGTTCTGACAGCAGGAAATTCGATAAGAAAAACCTAGTATGATTACATGTTATGATATTATTAACTGAACACAAACAATATCCAAGGTACAAACATGGGGAAACCTATTCTTTTATAGTAGTGGTGCTGTCTAGCGAAGTGAAATAATGAAGACATTTGGATGAGGGCC